ACGGAGGATGATGTAAGATATGAAAATAATAATCTATAACTTATCAAGGGTTCGTGAGGGAGGGCAGGAGGGGGAAGACATGGGGAGCTGATATCAGGGGCTCAAGTGGGAAGAGAATGCTTTGAAAATGATGATGGCAGCACATGTGCAAATGTGCTTGACACACTGGATGAATATATGGATTGGTAAGAGCCCCCAATAAAAGTATTTAATTAAAAAAAAAAGTCCATGATTTGAACCCACCAACCACTCAGTGGGAGAGAGTTGTGGTTTCTGTAAAGACTTACAGACTTGGAAATATTTACAGATGTATAAGTACTATGTGGCAGGTCTACTCTATCCTCTGTGGGCAATATGAGTAGGAACCATGTTGACTAGCTTTACCAATAAACTTGTTTATCTGAAAAAAATAAATAAAGGAGGTCAGGAGTAAGGCAGCAGAGAATGTTGGGCACAGAGTCAACTGTAAAATGCATGGCCTCTCTAACTGAGCCAGTGCTAATCAATAGATCTACTGTATTTCACAAGATAACCTAGAAATAAAGATTTCCATGAGAACATCTGATATTGAAATGCCGGCAACTATAATTATTACACAAGCAGAAAAAGGGATTTAGAGTGGGGAGCCATAGTTATCTCAGGAAAGTCATACAATAAACTTTTTAATTCCTTCATGGTGGCCATGAAATAAGTATATATGAATGTGTGTCAGTAGAAGTATGTACTATGTAACACCACACTTACATGTATGCACACACAGCATTTTTAAAAAGAAAAATCTCACTGTCATCAAGTCCATGCTGACTCAGAGTGATCCTATAGGGCAGCAGTTCTCAACCTGTGGGTTGTGGCCCCTTTGGAGATTGAACAACCCTTTTCACAGGGGCCGCCCGATTTATAACAGTAGCAAAATTACAGTTATGAAGTAGCAATGAAAATGATGAGCTGTATTAAAGGGCCGCAGCACTAGGAAGGTTGAGAACCACTGCTACAGGGCAAGATAGAACTGACCTTTGAGTTTCCAAGACTGTAACTGTTTACTGGAGTTGAAAGCCCCATTTTTCTCTCTTTAAAAAGGGGGAGGAAAAAGCAGAGATATTCCTATAATTCATATTGTACTACGCAGGTTGAGGATACTTGCCTATTTGAATTGTGTCCTCTGAATGCAATTCTGCAATGGGTTTTGATAGAGGAGGTTTGGATCTATAGAAAGATAAAAAGAGAAGAAAATGAGTCAAGTATCTGATTTACTCCAAAACTGTATATCCTTTCTACTGAAATGGCACATATCTACTGCTACTGTTCAAAGCAAGGGCTACTTCTGAAGGATTTAGGTTAAATTAAATTTGACTAGAAGCACATACAGTAAAAATTCAACAGATACATAGGGTTTCAGGCTAGATCAGCTAAGTACTAAACTCAACAGCTCTTGATGTCAAATCGCACAATGAACTTGAAGTACTTAGAAATAGGCTAACAAGAATTTTCCAGGTCATCTCTAGTTTCTTGTTTCTCTGCAACCAAAACAAATATATTAAGATAACTATTATTTCTCATAGAAAAATTACACAAAACTGACCTTTCCACCCATCTAAAATTCAGGAACATTTATTTAATAATCCCCTCAAAAATGCATCGAATCAGAAATCAGAGAGCCAAATTCAACTATGCCCAACAACTATGCCAGAAACAGCCATCTATCTTTTTCCCAGAAAAATCATCACTGGTCTTGAGTGAGACTCCATTTATTCATACTTCAATCAGAGTTCTATCAAGCATATAACCTTTTCAGTTCTCACAAGGTCAGAATTGCTGTATATTATTAAAGAGCACATTTAATATAAAATATAACATTAGGTAAGGTGATAAAAGTAACTTTCATCAGATAATCAAGGGGAAAAACGACATTTCAGTTTGTGGGATCTTGTTGCTACGTGCCATATAGTCAGTGCTGACTCATTGTGGCCCTATGTGAACAAAATAAATATTCTTATGCTTGAAGGCCCACTGTTGCAGCCACTGTGTCAATCCATTTGTCAAAGGTCTTCCACTTTTTTGCTGCCCCTCTACTTGACCAAGCATGGTGTCCTTTACCAGGGACTGGTCTCTCCTGACAACATGTCCAAAGGACATGAGAAGTCTCACCATTCTTGTTGCTAAGGAGCATTCTGGTTGTACTTGTTCCCAGACAGATGTTTGTTCCTCTGGCAGTCTGTGGTACTTTCAGTATTCTTTGCCAGCACCGTAACTCAAATGAATAGATTATTTTTTAGTCGTGTTTATTCAGTGTCCAACTTTCACATACCTAGGAGGCAACTGAAAATACCATGGCTTGGGTGGGTCAGCCATTAATCCTCAATGTAACATACTTGCTTTTCAACACTTTAAAAAGAAGTCTTGTGCAGCAGATTTACACACCACAGTTCCTCTTTTGATCTCTTAACTGTTGCTTTCATGAGCACTGATTTTGGATTCAAGCAAGACAAAATCCTTGACAACTTCAACCTTTTCTCCATTGATCATGATGTTATCTATTGGTTGGGAGGCTTTTTGTTTTCTTTACATTGAATTGCAATCCATACTGAAGGCTGGAATCCTTGATCTTCATCAGCAAGTGAATAAGCCTTCCTCCGGTCCTGATGTCACATTCTTCTTCATCTAGTCCAGCTTCTATGATGATCTACCTGCTCCGCATACTGACTGAATAAGTATGGTGAGAAGAAGCCACCAAGACACACACCTTTCCTGATTTTAAACCAGGCTCTATGCCCTTGTTCTGTTCTAAAACTTTTTAACTATGCATTTTTAAACAGCCATTCATTTGTCAGTTTGTTATACTGTGTGGCTTATGTATGTGGTGATGTTGGAAGCTATGCCACAGTTACGATACATATTAGTAGGACAACCTGAAACTGGAAGTTTCAGCAGAGTCCCAGACTACGGCAGGCTAGGAGGAAGCACAGGTGAGGAGAAAGAGGCAGTCAAGTCACTTCTGAAAAATTAGCCACTGAAAACCTTAGTATGGGAAGATAAGCATCCTCAGGTGGGAAAGTACTCGAAATACTCCCAGGAAAGTATTGTATCGTCAAAGGAGCCAACCTTAATGACACAGATGCAGCAAAGCTTTCAGAACTCTCGTTTACTGATAGGGGATGGATCAAAACAATAAAAAGAAACAGGACAGCCATCAAGATGGTATACTAGGCAGACTCTCTACAACAAAGACGCCAGATGAAACAGATACAGATGGGAATCCTAGAGCCTTGATTCAGAGGAAAGGATAGAGAAGTGGATTAAATACTAAGAGAAACTGAACAAAAGTGGCCAAAGAGGAAATCAACAGGTGAACTGTCAGCAGGCCTGATGCAGCTCAGCCATAATCAGCTGCGGGTGCTAAAGAACAGCTCAAACACCTATAGCTGGCGACAAATGTCTGGGAGGATGTACTTTCAGAATGATCCTTAGAAGTAAAGACAGTGAGACTTTGGGCATGTGATTATGAGAGAACAGCCTTGGAAAAGGACATCACGCTTGGTAGAGGGCAGCAAAAAATAGGAAGACCTTCAAAGACTAAGGCTTGACAAGGTCACTGCAACAACGGGCTCAAACACAACAACTGATGGATGGCTCAGGACCCGGTTATGCTTTGTTCTGCTGTACGTGAGATCACTGTGAGCCACACTGACTTGATGGCACCTCAAACAACAGCTATTATTGTAGAGTGTCTACATGTCTCTTCTATTCTGTTTACGTATTTTGAGACTCTCACTGGATACAGACAGTATGCCTATGTCCTCATGTTCAATTGATGCTTTTATCATTACATTATATCCTTCTTTGTTTCTTATGCTGGATTTTGACTATTCTATCATAAATTACTATTATCACTCCTGGTTTTTTTTATTGCTATCAACTTGATATATTTTTTCAAGTTATTTGAGTTTTCTGTCTCTGTGTGTAGGATGTGTCTCTTGTAAACAAACGGATGTGTCTTGTATTCTTATCTACTGTGCTACTGGGTCCCTTAGGTGGTGCATTTAATCCATTTATACAGCGTAAGTATCATTAGGTGTAAATTTCCTGGGTGTTTTGTGGCACGGCTAATGGTGTTCCACCCCGTTTCCTTGCTGAGTTCATTTTGTTTGGGAGTTTCCTTATCATTTATTTCATTGCTGCTGTTTTAGTAGTTACTAAATCTTTATGGCTTTCCTTTTTTATTTGGATGAGGCTTATTCATTTTCTTTGAGAACAAGTCGGCTCGACCTTGAAATTGACCAGACTTCTCCATTTGGAAGGTCTGCACCTGTGTTATTTACCCTCTCTGTAATTGTGTCCTTGTCCTCCTTTAAACCTTGCTATCAGTTTATTTTACTTTGTATGCCTGCGTATCGGCCTTGACTTTTCAGTGGTGTTTATCCTGACAAATTCTTAAAGCCAAAATTAGAAACAAATCTTGTTCACAGAGAAAGCTGGTTATTTATTTTTTGTTTGTTTTGTTGTTGTTTTCAGGTCATTTTATTGGGGGCTCTTACAACTCTTGTCACGATCCATACATCAAATTGCATCTGACATATTACTATTTTTCTTCCATCGTTCTTTTCTGGACATTTACTTTCCACCGAGCCCTTGGGATCAGCTCCTTCCCCGCCCCAGCCCAGCCCAGCCCCAAGACTGCTGGTATTTAGATGGTTAATATAAAAAGTGGGGAAGAGAATGCGTGTCAAAACTACTGAGTAAGCTTGTCTTTTTGGCTTGAAGTCAAGAATTAAAATCTCAGCTCTACCTCTTCCATTTTTGATGACTTCATGCAAATTAACACCTTTGAGTCTCAGTTTCCTCATAGGAGGACAGAATGGGGCAATTCAAGTGAAATACTTGACAAGGCAAGAAAAGATCTAAGCAAAGATTAGTAAACTCAAACCTATAGGTTTGTAAAGTCCTTGAATGCTGAACTCAGAAAATGGACCCATTATATCTCACTTGTAATAACTGATTACTCATTCATTGGTCTAAAAATATTTACTATTTTATATTTAATATTACTATCCATTTTGCACTGAAGATTGTTTATACTATGGAGATAAAGCAGATCATAGAATATGCCTAAAATTTCCAGGCTACTAAAACTATTCACAAGTTCTTTGGTAAATGCTCAGAGGTATTATACTGGTGGCAGGAAGAGTCACAAGGGAAGATAGAGCTCATTTCAAAGCCTGTGAGATACACTAGAGGGGGATCTACGGCCGGAAAGAAAGGAAGGAATCACAGGAAATACTGCCCTGCGGTGAGGCATCGCGTTCAAGCCTGCCGTCTACAGAGATGACGCTGAATTCTATCAGACTCTTTTTCTGTCAGTCCAAATCATACTTACTTGATGTTATGTATCTTCCTTGTGACTATCATTGGAAAGTCAACCTCAAAATACTTGCTTGGGAGAAGATTTTCATCCTGGAGAAAAACACACAATACTCTTTATATATTCATCAATCACCTTTTATCTGCCATGCACTAAGTATCTAAGCCAATGGGGTTGTTGTTTTTTTAATCAGGTGAGTGATCTGGTTGGGAATTTGCTTTCCATTTCCAATACATGGAGTGGATGTATAGGAAGAACGGATGCAGCAAAACTGTTACTGGTCAGTGTCAATTCCAACTCATTGCGATCCCATGTGTTTCAGAACACCCCCATGTTCTTAGGGTTACCAATGGCTGTGATCGTTCACAAGTAGGCCACATCAGACCTCTTTCCTGAAGCAACTCTAGATGGACGCAGTGGTTCAAGTGTTCCGCTGCTGACCAGTTTAAACCTAGCATCCACTCCACGGAAGAAAGGTGTGGTCATCTGCTTCTATAAAGATGTACAGCCTTGGAAACTCCACTGGCAAATCTAATCTGTCCTATAAATTCACTGTAATTGGGGATCAACATGACAGCAGTGGGTTTGGGTTTATTTCACTTATTTTGCGAACAGAAAGTACACAGTGTCTTAGAAACCACAGGTTGAGACCTATTGGGGAGGGTCAGAAAAATCAATGTAGTGGGTTTGTATTTACTATCCTTTTTTAATTCAGTAGAATAAACGAGCAAATAGTGAAGTTAGTGTTATTTTGTGGAAATTTCTCCCCTCCTTCATTATAGTGAAGCCCAAGGAAAGGGTAAAAACAAGCACTGTGGTATTCAAAAAGAAGGAAGGGTTCAAAGTTTGGCTTCAATACTTATTTGCTGTGAGGCCCTGGGAAGATATCTAGGTCAAGGTTCTCTCATCTGCAATGTGAAGATAATGATAACACCTCGTGGGGTGGTGAGAGTAAATGAGTGGAAATGTGTGGTGCTCAGATGGAGCCACCCTTAATAAATATCATGGGCATCCCTTGATTATCAGTGTATTTCCTGTAACTGACATAGGCACATAACTATGGGCCCACCATAGGTATGTATCTCACTGGGTTGCAGTTACCAAGAAAAGTAGGAAAGCCCACCCACCGAGAGAGATCTCTGCTTCCCTTTCCTGCCTTTCCTAGTTGGGTGGCAGCTACTTCATCTGGTCACCACACCACCTCACTGTCCAGTCAATCCGTTCTTCTGACTATTCTCAAATCCATCCACTCCTCAATTCTACCATCTCCTATCCAGACTATAATGATTCACCTCCTACTCGCTTTCAACCACCATGGCAAGTATACAGAAGCAGGTTATGGCTTTATTGTATCTGATACAAAAAGGTAGAAAGAAGAGGTCAAGGATGAAGTTGTCCTGCGGGTGGGGGTGGGTGGGTGTAAAAAGATGACAATGTCAAGGAGTTCAGAAAGAAAAAGAATGTTTGAGAACTGACTGGGGTAGCAATTGTACAATACTGCTTGACATGACTGAAAGATGGAATGACATATGTATTAACTCCTAATTAATAATAATTTTTTAAAAAGATGTCCTTGTTTTTAACTTGAGTGACTAGGCAGGCAAGACAACTATTTAAATAGATGACATATATAATCCTCACTAATCAACTACCTCATTATGCTTCATTTCACATTTACAAGAGTAAAAAAACCCTACTATCAGACTGTTTTATGCATTGCTAACAGATGTCTGGCAGTAATGCACACCGAGGTGAGGGAGGAGAGTAACACTGGCTATGACAATATTATATGAACTTGGCCAGCCCAAGGGTTGGCAGTTAGTTATGTAATGGTATAAAATGTGGCAATTAAATAATAATGAAATTTAGTACTTATAGACTAATCTAATTAGGCAGTTGTATAATGATGTAATCATTCCCTATTTTGTAATCTGATATGAACATCAGATTTTACATAATGCCTATTTCTGCAACATGAACCAGTCTTTGGTACTTACCCCTGTATGTAAGTGAGAAGTGGGGGTGGTAATAGCAAATGGAGAAAACACATGGGCACTAGATGACATGTGGGGACATTGCAGCTCCCTCTCAGGACATCATGAGGGGGCAGCAATGATAAGAAACTGTTTCCTAGTAAGAGGAGGACATAAGCATTGTAAAATTCAGTTATGCCCTCCAATGACCGCTGTAGAGAATGGTCCTCTTTTGAAATTCCTATGAATTGGGATTGGGCTTTATTTGAAAAAAAAAAAGAGATCATTTGCTGGCATATCAGATGATCTTACTTCCACAAATCCTACCCTTCCCCCTAAAAGTTCCAACATATACCTGTCTGTCTTTGTAGTAGGGTTATTTACAAAATACTTGGAGGAAATAGAGCATAGATAGAATTAAATTTTGCTAGGTTGTTCTGCAAAACCTTTTAAGGACTTTTATTAACAGAGTTTGGAAAGTTAAAGACCATTTAGAATTCCAGAAGACAACAAGAAATAATTAAAACTCAACTACTGAAGGATAAAATAGTGTCCTACAGCTTGTACAAGACTTCTTACTTTTCCGAGAACTTCTCCATGTATTTTATCCCCATAAGAATTATGAAGAAGAAAAAAAATTATGAAGCGGTCACTGTGTATAAAAAGCATTCCTGGAGCTTTACAGAGAGAGACATCCTTGTTCTTGGCTTTGAGAAAGGGGCAGGCAAAAGGCTCTGGGGAGTGATACTTCCACTTTTTTTTGCCTGTGACTTCTGTTGCTTTTCTGATGTCCCACTCCCAAGTAGCTCACATGTCACTAGGAAACATGGGAGCTATCCATAACTGGGAATACTAAATGAGGCAGACAGGAATGCCCGTGAAGACGCTCCACAAAGAGGATTCCCATGGCTAACTGCTTGAGCAGCTGACAAAACTGAGGCTGGAGTTGGATTCTGATTTTCTAACCACTTGTCATGAAATCCCAGCAAAACTGGCCCTTTGAAGGGCTACACTCATCCTTTATTCTTTCATTGTAGCTATACCAGTTTTCCCTTGCATGTTTCTTGCCCAGTGCCTAAAATAGGGGTCTTCATGGCCCAGTCTTAGGTTTTTGAGATGGTATAGAACACCCTATCACAGAGCAGTGGTGGCAAAAAACGTGGAATGCTTAGCTAACCCCGATACCATCAGGGGACCGTGTTTCAGGTGAAAAGTGGCTTCGAGATAACATGACCTGTGGGCAGGTTTTCCCAATTACTTTTATAAGAACACACAGAACTACAAGGGTTTTTTGTAAAGAATCGGCTGTCCGTATTTTAAGCTTTGTGAGCTAGATCTCTCTGTTGAACCACTCAACTCTATTGCGGCTGCACAAAAAGTAGCCTGGGACAATGGGCATGGCCGTGTTTCAATAAAACATTATTGACCAAAAGAAGTAGCAGACAGATTTGATCTACAGGCTAAAGTTTCTTGACTCCTTTTTTTTAAATAGAACCTTATAGCTAAAAACCTCTTCATACCAATATAAATTACAAGCAAAATTTTTAAAAATGTTTTCCCAAGAACAGTGCAAATTTCCTTTTCTGTTAATCACAACCCATACCCCCCACCAAAGGAGGTACCTAAGACTCTATTTTACTGGAAAATGAGTATAACAGATCAAGAGGTGGGGAAAACAACTTAAGAACAATTCAAAGAGGTGCCAAGTACACTGGAGGATTTCTCCTGTGGCCTCAGTTAACACTGACAATAGTACATTCTCTTAGGTCTCATTTCCTTACACCACGCCATGGGACAATATGGCATCCATAGAAATGCTGAAAATATTCCCCTGAACAATCAGAGAGGAGATACATACAGGAAAAGAGAATAAGTTTAGAGTTTGCTGAGCTGGACTCCAATGTTTATTCTACACGCTAATGCCTCTGGTTATACAATGTGCAGAATGTCCACCTATTTTCTTATTGCCCCATTTTCTCAAACTGTATAAACCCCCCTCTCAGAACTCTCATGATTCCTCAAAAAGTTCCCGCTGTAAATGCACTTCATAAATGTTAAGTATCTTATCCAGAATGAAGAAAACATGGCCAAACCATGAATACTTAGACCATATTGGATTTCTCATTGACTATGGAAAAGGTTGGAAACTCTGAAGACTAATGACATTCCTAACAGGTGAGCTGATTAGGAACTAAACAGATAAGCACTTTGGTGAGTGCTCATGCACTCAAATTTATCTTGATTTATATCTGGAAGAAATCCAAGGAAATGCATGTACCCTTCACTACCATGTGACCAACCACATTAAAGAACCTACAGAAAAGAAAATGTATTTAGGGAAATCTTTGTAGGAAAAAGGTTTAGCTGTACAAACTCAGGTAAGGGAGAATTGCTTCTGCCATTAATGAGGCTTAAGTTACCTTCTCTCAATCCCAGCAGGGCAGTATGGGACCAAATCAACAAAAGGGTTCTAGGTAATAGTACCATGACCCAACCTGGCAAGTCTCCTAATTTCACCTCAGGCACCCGTGGGGTAAAAGATCTAGTTTTACCTTTAAAGGTGGTCTTTGGCCTTGGCTCTGGAAAAATAACCCTTGGAGTAAGTGGGATACTTGGGTCTGGAATTTCCAGGCTACATGTGAGGGATTTGTGTTGCTTATGGTGCTATACAAATAAGGCTGGCCGATAGGAAAACACTTGCCGATAGCAACTAGCCTGAGAAGGCAGGTGTATATGATACAGGACTGCCCTACAGAAGCCCAGTTGGTTGATGAGAACTTACGCTCGGGAGGGTGGTGCATCCCTAGGAACATGGAAGTTCCCCATTGGGAACTAACAAGACCTCACCCCACGTTGTCTCTTCGTTTGCATCCCCCTTTTTTTTTTTACTATAAAAAATCTGTAGTCAAAGTATAATAGATACAGATATACTAAAAACAAAACCCATTGCCATCAAGTCAATTCATATTCATAATGACCCTATAAAATAGGGTAAAACGGCCCCCTTTAGGTTACCAAAGCTGTAAATCTTTACAGGAGTACAAATCCTCATGAATTCTCAAAGTCCTTTCTGTAAATTAACAAACCAGGAGTGCAGTGAGAACTAGCAGGTCAAAAAGTAAGGGGCTTGAGTAGGTGCAGAGCTTGCAGCTGGCATCCTGAAAAGACAATGGGAAACCAGTCCTGAATTTGGGATTCTCAAACTTGCAGGTGGATTCTGCCTATTTGGTAGTCTGAAGGATGGTTGTCCTTGTGACCACTGACTTAGTTGTAGGTAGCTAGAGTCAGAAAGAGGGGAAAGGAGAGAATATGCTGTGGGGTGTCTGGTGACTAGGACAGAGAAGTAATAATAGGAGGACAGGATCAATCCCCACATTGTAGCAATGAGATTCATGTGGATCCTTACCACACAATGTCATTGTGCCCACCATAAAATTTTAGTCCTGGTCAAAACTACAAATGCATTTGACTTTTTGTCCATGCAATTCCACTTCTGACATGTTATCCACATGCCCAGAAAATCCCATACATGGATAATTACATGAATTCTACTTCTAACCCAAAAAGATGTCCATAACTAGTTCCTGGTGAATACAGGATGGTTCCTGAGGGTAGTTGTGGAGGATTATACAGACGGAGTCAGCTGTGGAGATGGAGTGGTCAAAGCATAAATTGTACCATCACTTAAAAATTTGTGAATGGGGAAGTATATCTATGTGCATCTATTTATAGGTTTAGTATTAAGATAGCAGATGGACATTGGGCCTCCACTGAAGTACTCCCTCAATGCAAGAACACTTTGTTCTATTAAACTGGTATTCCAAGTTCCTCATCTTCCCAACACAATCGCTGAAGACAAATGGGTGCATAAGCAAATGTGGTGAAGAAAGCTGATGGTGCCCTCCTATCAAAAGATATAGTGCCTGGGGTCTTAAAGGCTTGAAGATAAACAAGTGGCCATCTAGCTGAGAAGCAACAAAGCCCACATGGAAGAAGCACTCCAGCCTGTGTGATGACAAGGTGTCAAAGGGATCAGTTATCAGGCATCAAAGAACAAAAAATCATATCATTGTGAATGAGGGGGAGTGCGAAGTGGGGACCCAAAGCCCATCTGTAGGCAACTGGACATCCCCTTACAGGAGGGTCATGGGGAGGAGACGAACCAGTTAGGGTGCAATGTAGCAATGATGAAACATACGACTTTCCTCTAATTCTTAAATGCCTCCTCCCTCCCCACTATCATGACCCCAATTCTACCTTACAAATCTGGCTAGACCAGAGGATGTACACTGGTACAGACAGGAACTGGGAACACAGGGAATCCAGGACAGATGAACCCCTCAGGACCAGTGGTGAGAGTGGCAATACCGGGAGGGTATAGGTAAGGTGGGGTAGAAAGGGGGAACCTATCACAAGGATCTACATATAACTCCCTCCCTGGGGGACAGACAACAGAAAAGTGGGTGAAGGGAAACATCGGACAGTGTAAGACATGACAAAATAATAACTTATAAATTATCAAGGGTGAAGGAGGGAGGGAGGGTGGGGGAGGGAAGGGAAAAAATGAGAAGCCGATACCAAGGCCTCAAGTAGAAAGAAAATGTTTTGATAATGATGATAGCAACAAATGTACAAATGTGCTTGACACAATGGATGAATGTATGGATTGTGATTAATTGTATGAGCCCCCAATAAAATGCTTTAAAAAGAAATTGGTGAACGACCTGATCATCTTTAAAATTTTAATTTGAACAAATGGTTTCCAGGAAGGAGAGCGCTCACATACCTTTAATTTCCAGAAGGTGGTGTCCATCCCAGCCCCAAGGTTGAGAATTTGACAATGACATTCGGTCTTCCGTAGAAATGCTTTAATAAGTTGACTGACCCCATGGACTCGAGCAAAATAACCTGAGGAAGTCCAGGGGAGCAAGCATCACACAACAACCACTAAAGAGCCCCGGGCAACAGAAGTACAAAACAGACAGCTTCAACGTCAGATAGCATCTGGAGACTTTATGGGAAAATAACAACTTTCCAATTCTCATCTTGTTTTACAAAGTGGTTTGAATCAAAGGGATTTGAATTAAAGACAATGTGTTTACTTGAGGGGTTAACTACCTATACCTTACTATAAGAAAATAAGAAGGTACAGTGTCCCATATCTTTACGATGGAAAAGACAATCGTTTTATATCAAAACGTCTGATCCAAATGTTCCTCTTGGAAATATTCTTTTCGTGTCTATAAAGAAAGCTACTCAGCAGTCTGGTAAAACTGAAAATTGTGAAATCGCATGGAAAATAATATTTTAAGTCAGGAAATTAGGCAGTGAATATTAAAATACTCATATCATATTCCTTTTATCTATACCTTGAATAGGTTAAAGTTTTTATATAAAATGTTATCATAGACTTCAGGCAACCTAAGAGAATATACTGCTTGTCTTAACAAATATACCCACTTGCATCAAGTTGATTCCAAGTCATAGCAAACGTGTAAAACATAGAACAGCCCCATACGGTTTTCAGAGCTGTAAATCTTTATGGAAGCAGCTTTCTCATCTTTCTCTTACAGAACAGCTGGTGAGCTTGAACCACCAACCTTTCAGTTCAGAACCTAATGCTAACCTACCGTGCCACTAGGTACCCTTGCCATAACAAACAGTTCACAGTAAATAGGATGTATGCAGATTCTAAATCTACAATCTCACCCATAAATAAAATAAATCATAAGATACAATGTTTATCAAATTAACAAAGTATTGTAGAAGATGTTGGGAAAATTCATATACTCTTGTAAACAGTGTACTTGAATATTATACGAACGAATCCTTAAAGCCTCAGGCCTCTTGGTGGATGAGGGCACACTGGGGATAGGAAGGGGAAGTTACTTACCTCTGTTAATTTCTGGAGCCTTCCTCTCTTTACATAACCTCACAAAATGCTGGATGTAAGGGTCATGCCAGTAGCCAATGCTTACTGCAAACCTGAAAGGGTTAAAAAAGGAGGCACAGATATTACAGATTAGTAGGTTTCACTGTAAAGTTTTCAGGAACCAAGCCAAGCATTCAGAAGAAAATTATCATGTTCCAATGGCCAAAATCAAACATTTAGTACCTCATTAAAAATTAAAACAGTATTACCCACCCATCTTTATATTCATATTCGACTGCCCATCACACTTCCCCTGGTGGTCATTCCTCACCTCTCTTTCTTCATATTCCTAATTCCTTCCCACAATCTAAATCAACAAATAACTTCACAGTTCATACAGATTTATTATCTCACTGGCCAAAACTTGTCACTCAGTTCCATTCAGCCAAACATGCTATGCCTAGCAGTGATACACAGAGGGGCATGGCAAGCACTGCTATTTGAGATTTTCTCAATGCAGCAGCCTATCACAGAAACACACAGCACACTCGCTGATGAACACGATGTGTCAGGAACTCAGCCTGTCAGAAGAAAAGAGCAGATTCTCAAAGCTGTACAACAGCCAACTTGCTTAGTTATCTAAAAATTTTTTTCCACACAGTGACTTGTGCCCCATTAATGTCATTAAATCAATAAACTAATCTGTGAATCTGCGTTTACTTTATAAAATGACATAGAACAGAACAAGATAGAAAATATCAGTATGCATCAGATTAATTCACACACCTTTCATTTCAAGTGCTACCTGTAGAATGACTGCCATGAAAAAAGTACGTGCTTTCTCACTTGGGTGGCAGGCAGTTATCAATGAGATCAGGTACTGCCATCTGGTGGTACAGCTATATTTGTAATTGAAGAAAAGATTTAAAAAAGGATGGCGCTCCAATGGTTTAGCCCTATAACACCTGAATTTTTAATTTCAGGAAAAAATAATTTTTTTGTTTTTATTCTTCACTTTCATAGTTATCAATATATATAACAACCAAAATATGTTTTAAAATATATGAAATTTTCAATTTTAAAAAAATGTAACCAAATTGTCACATTCGTCCATGGATTTATAATAAATGTTATCATTAAATGTTATGAAAACTTCACGCTCGGGTTATAGAGTTAGGTTATTAGCTGCTGGAAGAAAGGTCAGCAGTATGAACCCACCCAGAGGTTCCTGGCAATCTGCTCCTGTAGACTGGGCCTACACAAACCTATGGGGCATTGCTGTCGCATAGGAGCATTATGGGTGGAAGCAACCTGATGGCACACACCAGCATCATTAATGAGCCCTCATGGCACAACAACCAAGAGCTTGACTGTTAACCTACAGTCTTGCCCTCTTCTTCCATACAGACTGTTTAGGTGCCACTGGGTCCAGTTGACTCTCAGTGACCCTATATCAACCCCACCGGCAGTACAGCTGCTGGGAGGTTTCCTTGGCTACAATCCGTAAAGGAGCAGACTGTCAGGTCTTTGTCCTACAAGAGTGGCTTGTGGGTTCTAAATACCAACTATTTGGTGAGCAGCCAAGAGCTTTGTCATTGCTCCATTAGGGATCCCTACTGTGTCACATGCAATTATTGAGAGCTGAAAATTAACTTGATGACAGTGATCAACAGTAACTGCACAGAGACAACTCATCCCCCGGTTCTGTGTTGGAAGAGGTTTTGGAAATGATCTAGTCAATCCCAGCATGTAGGGTAAGAATCCATTCAACAATATCAAGCCACTGCTTCCCTATACTCATAAGGCCTGCACTCACTCCAGTGCTAAGCAACTGATAGAAGCTGTTCAATGTCTCCCTTTAAATATGCCCTTTTGGCCTTTGGGGTAATAAGGAGCGTGTTCTATTTCTTGTAACTCTGTATTGTCAATTTAGTAATATTTAATTTCCCTTGAGCACCTACCAAGTGCACTCATTACTACTACAGATACAGTAGTAAGTAAGACCCAGAGAGGAGAGAGAAGGACCAGACAGTGATGACAAAACAAGCAGATCACCATGAGAGAGAAAGCTGACTCCGTGTGGATGAGGTAATGAATGTAAACTTGCACCAAGAGCACATGCCAATGAGTGAAGAATAAGAATAGGACGAAGAAGGTGAGAGGGAGCTGACAAGGTGAAGGAGGACTGCCATGCTGCGCTCAGTGGAAGAAAGCCAGTTATGAAAGAAAACTGCACGAGAGTTCTGGAAATCCAGACAGAAGGACTATTAAAGAGTTGTGCAATCATCACCACAATCCATTTTAGAAGATTTTCTTCTTTATTTTACTCACTATTAACTCTCCATTTCCCCCAAAGTAACCTGCCATAACCGAGTAAACAAACTATTCATCCAGTTACTCTCGAGATTTGCCTATCCTGGATTTCATATACAGAAAACATAAAAATCAAAACAAAACAATAACTGAAAAGAAAGCAAAAATATTAAAAACTAGAACAAATTTAAAATGGGCCAAAGAGAGAATGAATAATAATAATGTGTTAAGAGTTTAACTTAACTACATCTGCATTAATCCACTTCCCATGTACAATGTCTGACAGCAAGCAAGGCTATTCACACTCCTTGTCCACAAAGGGGGTTCACTAGAGGGTTCATTCACAAGGGAACCCTGCAAATGGAGTCTGAGCCTTCTTTATCATCCATAGCATTTTGCTAACTGGGTACTCGGAATTTAAGCTCTAATGCGGTACCGTCCTACAGTCTTGGATTGAATTATTTACAGTCCTTGGATCACACAGGCTGGTGTGCTTCTTCCGTATGGACTGAGCTGTCACCTTATTTAAATGACTGTTTTAAGACAAGCTTTGAAGACACTATTCTTTCTGGTAGCTGAACACCATCTGATTTCTTTACCACACTCTGCTATAGCAACACTATATCTTCAGTGATCTCTTCATGAGGGCAAGCAACAAGTGGGGCCACATCGTATTCAAAACTCATTACTCTCAAGTTGATGCCAACTCTCACAGTGACCCCGTAGGACAGGACAGAGCTGCCCCTGTGAGTTTCTGAGACTGTGACTCTTTATGGGAGTAGAAAGCCACATCTCTCTTCCACAGAGCAGCTAGTGGTTTTGAACTGCAGACCTTGCAGTTAGCAGCCCAACACATAACCACGTCACCACCAGCTCCTGTCAGAAAAAATTAATTAGTCTTAGATTAGGGCAGTTGTTTTCATCCTTCCTAATGCTGCAACCCTTTAGTACAGTCCTTCATGTTGTGATGACCCCAACCATAAAATTATTTTCATTGCTACCTCATAACTGTAATTTTGCTACTGTTATGAATCAGGCGACCCCTGTGAAAGGGTTGTTTGACCCCCAAAGGGGTCACGACCCACAGGTTGAGAAAAACTGGATTAGAAGTAGAGTGAAGGGGCCTGTCAATCATGTCATAGCCTGATGCCTCCTTGCAGGCATGGCCTTCTCATGAGGATTTCTGGGAACTTCCTCTCTTCTTCCCTGGAGATGGAACACACATTTCTCCTTCCTATTCCTGTTGACAAGTCACATGGAGCCACAGTGATGGCAGCCAGAGCCCTGGAGATGCTTCTACTGCCATTGAATACACAAGACTTTTCACCCACCGGCCTGTGATCTGGTATTCAGATCACTGCGACTGGCTGCGTGAGTCTGAAGAGAAATTGATGGACTAGTATCAGACATATGGGCTAATATCAGACTTGTGGACTTGATCTGGACTGGGCTGGGATGTTTTCTTAATAGACAATTGCTCTTTGATATAAAGCTCTTTCTTTGCACACATGAGTATGTGTGGATTTGTTTCTCTAGTCAACCCGGATTAACAGACATGCTTATCCTTTTATTGGGGAACATTATAAATCACCCCCAATGGAACATATGGTAATTCTATTGGAGGTCTCATTAATTTAGCCAATGATGTAGAATTTAAAATTCTGTTGAGAAAAGTAAAATAAACATGTACTTAAAAATAAACATGTATTTCAAAGTAAAATACAAAGATTGCTGACTTCTATTAAAAACTTAAGTGACTACACACTACGGAATGAGGGTCCAAGATACGGCAAAACTTTCAAAAGCACGCAATCACAAAAGCAATACTATGCCTGTTGGACTAAAACATGCTATTAAAAGGCACAGAGTATGAAAATAGCATATATTATGGTAGCCTAGATTTGCTGTTTATTAGCATCCTCAAAGCAAGAGCTTTCAAGCATTGTGCAATGATTTTCCAAATTCATAACCTTGAGATAGTCGCCACCTGCTTCTTTCACACTGACGCATCTCAGGCTTATATCCAAGAGAGTATTTCAGCTCCTTTCATCTGATAATAGATGTGTTTAAGGTAAAGCTCAACAGAGAGGAACAGGGCCCATGAGTTACAATGTCTCTGTGGCAGCCTTTGGGCCATGGATAAGGCAGGCACTGAATTTGGCACAGCTGCCAAGCAGTTTTTAAAATAATAAGAAAATATAGTTTAAGAGGGCTAATAAGACTTAATAGGTATCATGAAAATGTGTTTTACTAGGATAAGGAGAGAAAGTGTACAGAGATAAGTAGGTAGGGTAGGAGACACATGTAAGTAATCAGACCAGCAGAGGATTTATGTGTATGTCTTTACACTTATGTTTATGTTTGTTTATATTTAGTAGAATTAAAGGAGAGGTGAGGAAAAAAAAAACAAAGAAAAGAGAGAAAGGAGGGGAAGAAGACAAAAGATGAAAGAAAACGAAGGAAAATTCTATGCTCTGTCTCCATGAATTCACAAAAGGTGGCAGGGCGATAATAAACAATCACCTTCTAGCTTTTTCCAGAATTCTAGTTCTCCCCGATGTGGAGCGCACGCCAACCCTCCTCAGCCTACAAGCATTCTTTCAGTTCCTCGGAGTCCTGGCTGCAGTCGCACCCACTGCCTGAACACTCTGCTAAGCTTCTCTTTCTTTTAGGCTTTCTTTCTCAGCTTAAAACCACCGACTTAATTACAAGCTCGAGTGACACTAGGGACAATCTGCCAGCACTCAACTCAATATTACAATGATGTGTTTCATGGGTGGCTGTTTCCTGTCTGTGTTCTCCAACTAGACTGCAAGTTTCAAACCACGTCTCTCTTCTTTATCATCAATCTCAATCACTAAATCCCACAACCCACACAAAGTAAGATCCTAGGACAAAGAAAGTTCTCAGAAATGTTTGTTAAATGAAAAGACTACACTAAAGTCTCACATTTTATTTTTCTTGGAAACATATCTGTGCTCAGACACCACCATGTGAAAGTGGAGATTCCTGTGCAAGAGACATAATAAACTCTGGAAACAGGAGTCAGTGCAGAACTTACTCTGTGAGGTAGTTGGTTTATTGTGCCAACCTGGCCGACAAACACGTGGGGTTAATTGAAGGGCGGAGGGATAAATGGCTCAGTGGGCCATGCCTTTCTAGTTCTTGGGTCTCTTGCTTTCTGATGGTCACACCAAGGGTGCAGCTGCCTTAACCAATTCCCTGCTTTAGCTGGCAAGGCTCACTTCCTGCAAGACATGCCTGAGGAGAAGCCACATGGATCTACCCCGATGCAGCCCCAGGTGCTGGAGCACCCGTGTGGAGCCCCCTGCCAGCACTGAGATGCTTACTCGTTCACTGACTCGGCTTTCCTCCTGCACTCGACATCATTGCATGTGTTTTGCGAGCTGGAGGAGGACTTTGTGGATTGGTGTTGGATATATGGGTTAATGCTGGACTTGTGGGCTTGGGCAGCACTGGGATGGGATGTTTTCTTGATGCACACTTAACCTTTATATAAAACTCTCTCTTATACATGAGTTTCTGTGGATTTGTTTCTTTAAAGTACCCAGACTAACACTCTGTAAACAAATGCATGAAGTCCTAGAAAGGTCGTATTAGCCCAGGTTTCCAGTGCACAATGAGGATCATAGCAACCTAAATTTTTCCTTCTCAGATTCTAGCAACAAAGCAGCTAGTAGACTAAGAAATCAACTCCATTTATAATAGCATCTAAGATTATAAAATATCTAGGAATACGTCTATCTAGGGATATAGACTTATACAATGAAAACCATAAAACACTCCTGAAACAAAGTGACCGAACAAATAAACATATGGAAAGACATTCCATGCTCATGGATTAGTAGACAATATTGTCAAGATGGCAATACCATAGATAAAACACAATGTCAATCAAAATTCCAAAAGCTTCCTTTACAGAATTGGAAAGACTAGTTCTCAATTTTATATGGAAACATGAGACCCCAAATACCCAAAGTGAATTTGAAGAACCACGTAGGAGGCGTCACGTTTCCTGATTTTAAAACATATCACAAAACTAGAGTAAAGTCATAAAGCTAGACTAATTAAAGCAATGTGGTACTGATTTCGTGGCTGGCATACAGCTCAGTGAAATATAATTGAAACCCCAGAAATAAATCCAAGCATCTATGGTCAGCTGAGTTCTCACAAAGAAGCCAAGTCCATTCAATGGAGAAGGAGCAGTGTAAGTAAATGACACCGGTGTAACTGGATTTGCATATGTAGTAAAAAGTGAAACATGATCTATGGCTTTCTCAGAGACAAAAACTAATTCAAAATGGATCAAGGATTTAAACGGTAAATCTAAAACCATAAATGTCTTAGAAGAAAATTAGGAGCAATGCTTTGTCACCTGGTTTTTTTCCCCCAATGACATTATCAAACACTAAAATGAATGCATGAACAGTAAGAAACAAAATAGGTAACTGAGACCTCCTAACAGTTAAACACTTATGTTTATTCAAATGCCTATCAAAAGAGTAAAGAGACAACATACAGACTATCTTTGGGAATGATAAAATCAATATATGAGCGAGTACCCCCCAAAAACTGGCACTGTGCTGGGCTGAGTGGAGCTTTTGTAGTCAGCGAGCACTGAGCAACTCGCTCTGAGTTAGTGCACCCAGTGGCTTCACCTGAGGTGGTTTACTCTGGGTCACAGTGAATTTTTTTGTAAAAGCAATTCCACTCAAATCTCATTTTTTGTGATGGCTAACTTAAGCGAACAGTATGCGGCTGTGAAATTTTGTTTCCTGCTCAGGAAAAATGACACAGAAACTGTTATGATATCAAACACAGCTTACATGGACAGTACTATGGGAAAAACTCAAGCATATGAGTGGTTTCCTTGTTTCAGAAAAGGTGAAATGCCGATTGCTGACGAACTTCCCCAACGGAGGAAAGTGTCGGTTCCTAGCGCATTTTACTTGTAGTGTATTCGGAGTTGGTTCCACCTGGTCAAACTGTTAATCAAGCTTTCTATTTCGAGGTTCTGAAAAGGTTGCCTAACAGTGTGTGACAAAAAAGGCCTAATTTGGTGTCAGGCATCAACGACCCAGAACAAAAAAATCATATCATTGCAAATGAGGGGGAGTGCGGAGTGGAGACCCAAAGCCTACCTGCAGACAACTGGACATGCCCTTACAGAAGGGTCACAGGGAGGAGACAAGGCAGTCAGGGTGTGGTAGAGCACAGATGAAACCGACAACTTCCCTCTAGTTCTTCTCCTCTAGACTTCTTTTAATGCTTCATTCCGCCCACTTGCATGACCCCAATTCTACCTTACAAATCCGGCTAGACCAGAGCATGTACACGGGTACAGACAGGAACTGGAAATCCAGGACAAATAACCCCCTCAGGACCAATATTGAGAGTAGCCAAACCAGGAGGGGAAGGGGTAGGTGGGGGGAGAAAAGCGAACTGATCAGAAGGATCTATATATAACCCCCCCCCAGGGGGATGGACAACAGAAAAGTGGGGGGAGAGCGTCATCGGTCAGTGTAAGACATGAAAAAATAATAATTTATAAATTATCAAGGGTTCAGGAGGGTAGGCAGAAGGGAGGGAACAAAATGAGAAGCGCTTACCAAGGACTCAAGTAGAAAGAAAATGTTTTGAAAATGATGATAACAAATGTACAAATGGGTGAATTTTGCACAGCACGGCTGATGGAATTGATGTAAGATGTACATAGGGATACGAGATGAATGGGGAAATGCTAGGTATTGTATGGTTTTGTAACAAGAAGATCAACCAAAAATAACAAGTCGGAGGAGAGCTACAAATGCAGATACTAATTAGGCACAACCATTCATCTCCATAGGTTTAGTTCCCTCGGTTTGGGGGCTTACTGTCATGTTCTGGTGGGATGGGGCAGTTCAATCCACTGGCTTAAAACAGTCCTTAACGTGTATGTTCCACCACCCAGTGAGGAATAGTGTCTGGGGTCTTAAAAGCTTATGAGCACCACCTGAGACACAATCATTGGTCTCTGGTACTCTGGAACAAAAGGGAAAGAAGCAAACCCGAGGAACAGAAAAAGAATTAATCGTCTCTACGAACGACTGCCTTTTCATCGGTAGGACCAGAGGAACTATGCGATGGTAACCAGGGTTACCACTACTGAACATTCTTATCCTAGTGTGCTAAGAGATCAATTCTGATAAAATCAGATAAAGACATGAAACAGAACTTCAAGCTCATAAAGAATCTAGATTTAATGGACCTACTGGGGCTGGAGGAAGCGCCAGGACTATGGCCCTAAATTACTATTCAAACCTTTCCATCGCCTTTGATCCAAGTAACGGGTTAGTCTAAAGAGCAAAGACTGTCAATATTGATCATCTGCATTTCTTAAAAAAAGAGAGAGAGATAAAGTGAAGGCCGCAGTCATTTTAAAGCATGAGTGAGCAGATTAGGGGGCAGAGAGATTTAAGTAAATGGAAGTAAAACAACTACAACAGAAATTCGTAGCATGTTGACAGAATGTGAAGGCAGTAACCAATGTCACTCTTATCTAGAAACTGTGACCCGGGGTCGGGTTTCGTTGTGTATTTTCACTAAAAAAAAATAATAATAATAATAACAAAACAAAAAGGCACTGTAGCCAATAGTCTTCTCCTGTCTGCCTCCCCAACAACGAACACTTCCACCAGGCTCACCGAATGCCCAGGGCGTACATTACGTCGCACAGACTGCAGACTGATAATGAAACGATCATTAATGATCCTTAATTACTGATCAAAGAAACCAACCTCTCTTACGTGCACTGCACAGGTACGAAGAAGCCACGCTCCCTTTTGGATTCTTTAGAAACAGGCCTGCCTCTTACGTAGGCCCCGAGCCACCCTGGACCCTGGGGTGCCTGGCCTCGCCCCGCACCCGACAGGTACCTCTTGCACAGGGAAGCATCCTCACAGGTACCGCGCACGCCTTCGTCGTCGGTGTCAGAGCTGAAGGTGGAAGAACAGGAGGTGAACGAGGGCTCCCTCAGCCTAGCGGCCATGGACGTAGCGATTTCGGACTGCAGTGCCCAGCAGGGACATGGAAGCGGCGTCCGCAGGCAGCGGCAGAAGGAGCGAGCCCCTCGGACAAGGAAGGCAGGGCAGCCGCCCGGCTCCCTCCAGCCCAGCTGGCGCTGCACACTCCACCCCGACGGCTTCCCCAAGCGTCCTCCCCGCGGACGCTGCCCTCCGCCCGCACACGCTCACTGGCCCAACCTCTCCGCCCCCTCTCTTCACGCCTTCGTTCATTGGAGAACGCTCCTAGCCCCACCCATCTAACCCGGAAGTTTATCCACCGGGCGTGACACGAAAATGACGCCCGTGGCCGCAATCCTCTCTGGGAAGTGTAGTCTTAGGGGATTCTGCGCGTCCTGAAAGGCGTGCGATTGCTGGTCATGAAAATGTATCGCTGTGTAGTTAACTGTAAGAGCCCCAGTGAAGCCGTGGTTAAAGCACAAGGTTTCTAAGCCCTTCAGAAGGTTGGTGGATGCAACCCCCAGCCACTCGTTGGGAGGAAAATGGAGAAAGAGGTGGCTGTCTTTCCATTGGAAACCTGTGGGGCATTTCTACTCTCCCATAGGGTCACTAAGAGTGTGTATTACTAACTCGGGCTTTAAAAAAAAAAAAAAAGCAATACGTATCTGCGGAATTGGGGCAAAGGGAAAAGACTAGAGCATTAGAAAACAATAGTTACACGCAGACTCAACAATTTCACAGATTTACTGAGTGCTGACATAGCACTAACAATTTTACGCAAACAGCCTCCTTTGATCTCCACAACGACCCAATCAGGTAGAATCATTAACTTAGATTCAAGGAGCTACTGGTACAAAGGTTGTTAATTGCCTAAGACTATTTATCTAAAAGGTGACAGACCCACCGGAATCTAGTCAATCCTGGCTGTGTTTATAAGGATTTAGGATGCTAATAAAAAAGCCCTGGTGGCTTAGTGACTATGAATTGGATTGCTAGCCCTGAGGTCAACAGGTCAAAATCACCAGTCTCTCTGCAGGGAAAGATGAAGCTTTCTACTCCCACACAGAGTTACAGTCTCAGAAGCCCACAGCAGCAGTTCTACCCTGTCCTATAGGGTCACTATGAGTCGATATCGACTTGGGGGCAGTGAGTTTTGTTTGATTGTTTTGTTATAATACTAATAACGAGGTAAGCCCACCGATCTGACTTCAGAGCCTATATTACATTCCCTAAACTGTTTTGCATCTGAGACCCAAAGTGACCCCTGTGGGCTTTATTCTCCTGAGACCAGTTTGACTCTATGCTCAGTTATATTCACAGGAAAAGAAGGTTTTTGCTGTCTTGGTAGCTAACTCTCTCCTGCCATAACCACAAGGTTCCCTCCTGCTGCTCAAATGTTAGGCCCTACTGGTGAAGAAAGTAAAGTATGTATTTAAATAGCACTGTAGGGAGGTGGTTGAAATATAGTGGGGGGTGGGGGAGTGGTAAGTGCTAGGGAGGCTGCAGAGATGTGGAAAGAAAGTTACGTATAGAGGAAGGAGCAATAAATACGTAAAAACAAAGATTTATACTGTGACCCAATTGGAAATCTGAAATTTACTAACCAGTTTATATAAGGAGATCATAAAAGAATGCTGATTGGCTTTTGTGCTTCTACTATATGAGTTGAATTAACTTTAACATCTGCTAAATGTTGGCAAATTAAACCATTTGTGAACTTAATAGATGTGGATCCCACTAAATTTAAGCATTGTAACCCCTATAATCCTAGGGGAATTACTGAATATGAAATAGAATATGCATTCTTTGAACCTTACATTCATAAGCAGAAATATTGCTTTCCCTAAATCACCCATGGTCACAGCATGAATATCAAATATTAATATTAAATATTAGTGTTTCCCCAAAGTACTCCAAGTGTTTACAGGCAGCCTGATCTGAGTCATAAAATAAAATTAAATTACTGGCACTTAAAAATTAGCTTAACAAAATGGCAACTTCAAGGAGTCTGGAGCTAAAATAGTTAATATGGCCCAATATAGTGTGGTGCTTAGGCATTGGGCTGCAATCCACATGGTCAGGTGTTCAAAACCACTAGCAGCTCCGCTGGAGAAAGACTGGGCTTTCTACTCCCCTAACAGTTACAGTCTCATAATCCCACAGGGGGTCACTATGAGTCAGCATTGACTCAATGGCAATGAGTTTGATATTTGGAGTTTGAGAATGTAAAATAAATAGGGCGCCTCTAAGAATCAAAATGTATCCCTATATAAGACTTAATTAATGAAAGGGTGATTATTCCCACTGTTTATTTAATAGCTCATTCAATGTTTCTTGTTCTTCAATCTGGAAAGAATGAATGGCACGTTATGATTTATGGTAAATTACTACATTCTTCTTTTTTTTTACTACGGTCTTAAAGTTATGGACTCTTCCATTAAGATCCTCATACCAAATATTATTAAAAATACTGATTTCATTCCATCAGAAATTGGTAAATAGTCTTCTACAGCCTCTCAAATGCCACTTCCTTCACTCCAGAATGAGGCCGATTAGCACTGGGGTGCTTCAGCAGCCTCGCTATCATGCACAATCTTTTCAGGCAAGAACGTAACTGCATCCACTGTACCAGGCATGTAGGTGTGACATTTCACTGATGATGTCCTCCATGGAGACTAGTTTAACGCACTTGTTAAAAAATATACAAATCTAACATCTTTTAGTACTCTGCGTTCTAGAGACACATATTCTTCATTTACAATTTTCCCTTAATTTCACTAATTTAGCTAGTTATCCATCAGTGAAATTTGAATGTGTCCCCTTCCATAAAAGACTGTAGAATTTGTCCACATGAATCAGACATTTCCACTAGTACACCCAGAAATGCTTTCACTGTGGAGACATTAGCAGCACCCTCGCAATTCTCCTGGTCTCTCTGTACCACCTAAGACAGGTACTAAGTCTCTCATGGATCTGGTGCAAAAGAACTGCAGCTCATGTTGCCTTGTGTCTTGGAAGCAGCACCCCAGAAGCTCAACACAAGCACTAAGGTCCCATGATAGGTGATGGAGTCAAACTCGGGCCCTCTGGCATATCACACCTTCATGAACAGGTAGCTTCCCAAGTCCTCGGTCCCCTGCCAGATGCCATAGTGTTAAAAAGAGGTCACCCCTTCTCCAGGTACTTTGGGCTACTTTGCAGTCCATCACAACTGAGTTAATAGTAATGGAAACTCATAGATCATGTAGATGATATCTACACCATCATACGTGTAGTAACATCCACAGTCAATGCCCATGGAAGCATCTGTCACAAAATAAAATGACATAGTACATGGGGGCAAATCCACTGCAAAAGATCTCTGTAAAGTGTTAAAGATAGCACTTGGAAGACTAATTTGTGCCTGATTCAAACCTTGCTATTTTCAATCACATGTAAAAGATAGACAATAAATAAGGGCTGGTGAAAAAGTAATGCCTTTGAATTATGGTGCTGAGGAAAAATATTAAATATATTACGGGTATCTAGAAGAATGAATAAATCTGTATTGAAAGAAGTACAACCTGAATGCTCCTTAGAACTGAGGCTGTTGACACTTTGTCTCAGGTACTTTGAATGTGTTCTCAGGAGGGACCAGCCCCTGCAGAAGGACATCATGCTTGATAAAGCAGAAGGGGAATGAAAAGGAGGAAGCGTTTCGACGAATCGCCATTCTGGCTGCAGCAATGGGTCCGAACATAGCAACTATTAGGAGGGTGGCTCAAGACTGGGCTGAGTTTCCTTCTTTTTTCTTTCCCGAGCAGTTTTGTTGCCGTATCATTCACATATCATACAATTCAACCGGTCAATCCCATCCAGAAGAGTTGTAGAATCATCACCACAATCAATTTTAGAATATTTTCTTCATTCTTGTACTTGTTCATTATTAATTCTCCACATTCCCCCCAACCTCCCCTGCCATCTCCCCAAGGAACCGTTAATCCAGTTACTGTCTCTATTGACTTACCTATCCTGGATTTCATACATACACACACACACAACATTTTTTTAAACAAACAACAATAACGAAGTAAAACAGATAAAGCCTCAACTAAGAAGAGAGCAGACAATATTAAAAACTAGAACAAACCTAAATGGATTGTAAAGGAGACCAAATAATAAGGGGCTAAAGTTTAACCTAACTGCCTGTGCAATATTCCACTTTCCAATGCATTCTGCACGAAAGCAAGGCTATTCACATCCCTGGTCCATGGTCAGAGGAGACTCAGCAGAGGCTTCATCTAAGTGTATTTCTCCTTCATGTTTGTTTGTTTTTAAGTCAAACAGATTTAAAATGGGTCAAAAAGGATGACACTACATTTTAACATAACATAACTACCTCTGCCATGACCGTCCATCTCTGTCTGATCGCTGGCTTATTCGCATGCCTTGACTAGGAGCAGAGGGATTCGCTGGAGGTTGAATCCATGTGTGGACCCTGCAAATGCGTTTTGGGCTTCCACTGTCAGCTAGGCCTTTTGCAAATCAGGTGTTCAGAATTTAAGCTCTGATACCATTCCCTCCTTTAGATTCAGATTATATTATTTACGGTCCTTGGATCGAGGCCGATTTCCTTTTTGTTGCAAAGTAACGAAAGTCAAATAAACCTTTAGTCCAAAAGATTCAGAGACCACTGGATCCTGGGCCGCCACAACCCTCAGACCAATAGGACTGGGTTGTGCTCACGCAGCACTACGGAGGGCTCTGAAAGGGCTCACAATAGAAGGTCCTCGACAGAGGGTGAAAAAAATGTAACAAAACTCAAAATCATTAAAAAAGTTTTTTTCAATACAGGATTACTGGTCTACTAGAGACTTGTGGAATTCCTGAGACGTTGACCCTTAAGAGACCCTTAGACCATGGAACTGAGCTCACCTCAATGGCTCAGTTTTCAGCCAAACAATAGGCTGCCTCCATGGTGGACAATGCCACCAGGGCAGAACTCACTCCATCCACAATTGTAAAAAAGAGGGGCAGGATTTGTCGCAGGCATGAAAAGAAAGAATGACAGATGGAAACAGTAAACGCAGGAAGGAAGCTGGAAGAGGGCTGTCACACTGAGAGGATGATCGTCAATGTCACATACGCACCAGTGTGTAGGAATGGGTGAATGAACAACCAATTTACACTT